GCTTACTATGGAATTGTACATGAAACAGAAAAATAGGATAGGGAATTATGTAGAGTTCTATTTTGATCATGTCTGTTGTCTAGCAAGGTTTCACTTTTTCTTCTGTTTCACTTGGGCTATGGTGAATGAGGGCAAGAAAATAATGTCACTTGTTCTAAAAGAAATGAATGTGTAGTAAGATTGGGTGTTGTGTACCTGTGATGAAGTAAGTCTAAAAGACATTCGCAAGTATTGGAACAGATCTGACAAGTCCTCAAAACTTCCTTTGGGTACAGAAAGTGAGAGAGAGTTCCTTGTTTTGAAAACCAGCTCATTTAGTTGGAAGCTGGTAAATTCTTAGTCACAGATTACACATGCGAATAAAATTTGAATAATATTAAGTATGAATTAACCTTGTTTTTGTTGTTAATTTCTATTTCTCAATAGATTGTCCGAGTTTCCACATTTTCGAAATAACCATAAAACTGTAAGGACATCAGATACAGTTAAAACAAAAGATCTTAAGTCTAGATCTCCTCATTTGGATGATTGTTCAAAGACTGATCACAGAGTTAAAAGTGATGTTTCTAAAGATGTACATCACAGCACTTCACTGCCAAACCAGGAAAAGGAAGGAAAATCACATTCTGAAAAAAAGAGCACTTCACATGTGTCTACATCTCTTGAGAAACACTGCACCAATGGCGTTTGGTCACATTCCCATTATCAGGTTGGTGAGGGTAGCCCAAATGAGGAAAATAGAAGAGGGAGAAAAGATATTAGACATAGCCAGTATAGCAGAGGAACTGACAGAGTACGAAAAGACTTAAGTACTTGTTGTAGTGATGGTGAACCAAGGAACACCGAGGCTTGTCAAAGGCTGCAAGGACATCCTGAGAAATATGGTAAAGGTGAACCAAAGACTGAAAGCAAAAATTCAAAGTTTAAAAGTAACACAGATTCTGATTACAAAGGTGAACGCTCTTCTTGGGAGAAAGAGACCTCTAGAGACAGGACACACACTCGAATAGAATCTCAAAGTGACAAAAACCTAGAAAGACAAAGTGAAAGATCACAAATTATAAATAGAAAAGAACTTAAATCACAAGATAAAGACGAAAGAAAAATTGATCAAAAACCTAAGTCAGTAGTAAAGGACCAGGATTATTGGAGAAGAATTGAACGAGCATCACTTCCTCATTTTAAGAATGAAATAACAAAATCTTCTCATAATTCAAGTAAATACTATCTTGAAGAGAGAAGAGGAAGGGAAGATTGTAAAAGAGATCGAAGTATAAACAATCATAGTTTTCAAGATGGAAGATGTTCATCTTCTCTTTCAAGCAGTAGAAGTCACAAACACATTGAGTCCAAGGAAGTTGATGCTATGCATCAATGGGAAAATACAACTTTAAAAGCAGAAAGGCATAGAACTGAAGATAAGAGGAAGAGAGAACGAGAAAGCAAAGAAGAAAATAGGCACATTAGGAATGAAAAAAGAACACCTGCAGAACATTTGCAGAAGACTAATAAAGAAACTAAGAAATCCACTACTGATTTAAAAAGACAGAATGAGCCAAAAACTGATAAAAGTGAAGTCTCCAATAATGAAATTTCTGAAGGAACAGATAATAAAGGACTTGTGATGAAAGCTGACAGCGGACCAAATGAAACAAAAAACAAAGACTTAAAGTTGAGTTTTATGGAAAAATTGAACTTAACTCTTTCTCCTGCTAAAAAGCAGCCTGTTTCTCAAAATAATAGGCATAAAATAACAGATACTTCCAAGTTTAGTGGTATATGTGATTTGGAGTCTGCAGTGCAGATTAAAACAGTGACATGTGTTCCCTCCATCAGTGAACATATGGGGGAAAACAAATCAAAGTTACTGGAACCAAAGATTGATCTTGCAGTGGTATCTGAACCCAGGGTCAATATCCCAGAAAGCAAAATGAAAGAAGAAAATAGTTTGTTAGGTAAATCTGTTGAGAATAGTATGCATTGTGAAGTGCCCATTTGTGGTACAGAAACTTCCTTCTCAACACCTGTGGAAATAGAACAAACAGAATCCTTGTTTTCGTCATCAACAGAAACAAAACAAATCATTAATAGTGCAAGGGCAGCCGCTCCTATGGTAATGGATATATTACCAGATGTTTCTCAAAACTTTGGGTTGGAATTGGATACTGAAAAACGTGATTTAAATTCTTGTGGTATTTCTGATGGTATGGAAATGAAGGTGACCCTTTCAACAAAAGTGGCTGAAACCAGTGAAAGTATCTTGCAGCCTTCAATTGAAGAAGCTGACATTTTGCCAATAATCCTTTCAGAAGATGATAACCCAAAATTTGAGCCTTCTCTTATAGATACACCACTGGTTGAGAGTAAGTCTTGTCATGTGGAACCTTGCTTACCTAAAGAGACTCTAGAATCTTCCCTTCAGCAGACTGAGTTAATGGACCACAGAGTGGAAATTGCTGAAACAAACTCAGTGTATCATGATGATGATAACTCAGTTTTGAGCATTGACTTTAATAACCTGAGACCTATTCCAGAAGCTATCAGTCCTTTGAATAGTCCAGTGAGACCTGTAGCAAAAGTTCTTAGAATGGAAAGCCCATCTCAAGTTCCATTATATAATAACAGTCATAAAGGTAATATTTATATTATCTTTTATAACTTTTTGTGAAAATGTAAGATACATAAACCAGACAAACTAGTGCTTTTTCTTTTCTGATAACATAAAAAATATTCAGACCCTGTTAACTAGAAATATACATTGAGCCTTTAGTCTAAATTTATGTAATTTTTTTTTTTTTGAGACAGAGTCTCACTCTTTTGCCCGGGCTAGAGTGAGTGCCGTGGCGTCAGCCTAGCTCACAGCAACCTCAAACTCCTGGGCTCAAGCGATCCTCCTGCCTCAGCCTCCCAAGTAGCTGGGACTACAGGCATGCACCACCATGCCCAGCTAATTTCTCTATATATTTTTAGTTTTAGTTTCTTTCTATTTTTAGTAGAGATGGGGTCTCGCTCTTGCTCAGGCTGGTTTCGAACTCCTGAGCTCAAACAATCCGCCCGCCTCGGCCTCCCAGAGAGCTAGGATTACAGGCGTGAGCCACCATGCCTGGCCAAAATTTATGTAATTTTTAATTATTTATATAAAAAAGGGAGTGGTAGGACATATTGTTTCAAATACTCTTTACTTTCAGATGTGTTTGTGTTGTTTAAAAGCCGTCCTCAAATGGCACAGAGTAAATGATGCTGCTAAAATGAAGTGAAGAATCACTGAGCAGTTGATTGATCATTATTCAACTGACCAAACTCTATCTTTACCAGACACCTTCTGAGCACTTTTTAAGACCAGTAAAAACCAATGACTCAAGTATTAGGTATTAACATTCTGCTTTAAGAAAAAAAACTATTAAAAGAAAGAATTGCCTCAGTATTTAATTTTTTGTTATACTTATGGAAATGTCAAATAACTTGGTTGTCATGTGACTTTAATATACTTTTGTCTTCTATAGAGGTGTTTAATATACTTTTCTCTTCCACAGATGTGTTTTCACCAAATTCAGCTCATTCTACCTCCAAGAGTCAGTCTAATCTCAATAAGGAAAATCAAAAGCCAATTTGCAAATCTGACAAATGTACAGAAGGAGATGCCTGTAAAAATTCATCTTTAGATGAATTAGAAGAAGGAGAAATTATAAGTGATAGTGAACAATCTGAACCAGAAAAAAGTTTTGTAAAAAATGCCAAGCCTAGAGCTTCTGCTGAAATGCAGAACTCAAAAACTATCCCAGAAAGTAGGAAAAGTACTATGCATTTGGATAAAGACAATACAAAAACATCTGTAAAAATCCATCAGACTAATAGCAAATGGAATAAAAGACCTAGTAAATCTAGCAGATCTTCAAAAACAGAGAAGAAAGATAAAACAATGAGCACCTCCAGCTTGGAAAAAATAGTTCAAATTATTGCTGCACCCTCTTCTGTAAGAGAGATTATGCACATGTTACGAATGATAAGAAAACATGTAAGGAAAAATTATATGAAATTCAAGGTAAAATTTTCAATAATTCAATTCCATAGAATTATTGAGTCAGCAATTTTGAGTTTTACATCACTAATCAAACACCTCAACTTATCGAAAATCTCTAAATCAGTGACTATTTTACAGAAGAATCTCTGTGATGTTATAGAATCTAAACTTAAGCAAGTTAAAAAGAATGGCATAGTTGATCGTTTATTTGAACAGCAACTACCAGATATGAAAAAAAAATTGTGGAAGTTTGTAGATGAACAACTTGATTATTTGTTTGCAAAGCTTAAGAAAATCTTAGTAAAGTTTTGTGATTCCATATACTTTGGAAGTGATAGTGATGAAGGAAAACTGGAAAAAAAAAGTAAAGAGAAAGGACAATATTCAAATTGTCAGAAGCAGAATGTGGACAATTGCAACAAAGAAATGCTGAAGGAAAAATCACCAAAATCAGAAGACTCTATTCATTATAAGTCTCCACTGGGATATAAAAAATCTGAGGAAAAACATCAAGACGAAAGTAACTTCAGTATTAACGCAATAAAGCATGACATTAAAAAAACTTTCAATGCCTGCTTTGATATTATAAAAAACTGTCAATCCGAAGGGCACACCTTGGAACTACACTGTCCAAGCACCCCAAAGCCAGGAAAAAATGAAGGAAGCAGCATAGAGGATGCACCGACATCCCAGCATGCAGCTTTGAAGCCAGAACGTAGTTTTGAAATTCTTACTGAACAGCAAGCATCTAGCCTTACTTTTAATTTAGTGAGTGATGCACAGATGGGTGAAATATTTAAAAGTTTGTTGCAAGGTTCTGATCTTTTAGACAGCAGTGTTAATTGTACTGATAAAAGTGAGTGGGAGTTAAAGACACCAGAGAAACAGCTGCTAGAGAGTCTTAAGTGTGAATCTATACCAGCTTGTGCAACAGAAGAGCTAGTTTCAGGAGTGGCTTCTCCATGTCCTAAAATGATAAGTGATGATAATTGGTCATTATTATCATCTGAAAAAGGTCCATCTTTGTCTTCAGGGCTTTCATTGCCAGTTCATCCTGATGTGTTAGATGAAAGTTGCATGTTTGAAGTGTCTACTAACATAGCTTTAAGTAAAGATAATGTGTGTAGTTCAGAAAAGAGCAAGCCCTGCATTTCTTCCATACTTCTTGAAGATCTGGCAGTCTCTTTAACAGTACCGTCACCTCTGAAGTCAGATGGTCACCTCAGTTTCTTAAAGCCTGAAGTTTTGTCCAGTTCAACTCCTGAAGAAGTTATTAGTGCCCATTTTAGTGAAGATGCCTTACTTGAGGAAGAGGATGCATCTGAGCAAGATATTCATTTAGCTCTGGAGTCCGATAATTCAAGCAGTAAATCAAGTTGTTCTTCATCGTGGACCAGCCGGTCTGTTGCTCCAGGCTTTCAGTACCACCCTAATCTACCCATGCATGCTGTTATAATGGAAAAGTCCAACGATCATTTCGTTGTGAAAATACGGCGTGCAACACCATCTACCTCTCCTGGTCTTAAACAGAGCATGTCTGATGAGTCATTGGCATCTTTGCCCAGAGTTGGAAAGGAAGCTGATGAAGCAGCAGAGAAAGAATACATTTCATGTCAGAACACAGTTTTTAAATCTGTGGAGGAATTGCAAAATTCCAACAAAAATGTTGATAGCAGTAAATCAACTCATGAAGAACAGAACTCCATGATACAAACACAGGTTCCTGATATATATGAATTTCTTAAAGATGCGTCAGGTAAAGTGGGTCATAGTGATGAAGTGGCTAATGAATGTTTCAAGTTACATCAAGTATGGGAACCAAAAGTGCCTGAAAGCATTGAAGAATTGCCTTCAGTGGAAGAAATTCCACATTCTGTTGAGGATCATCTTCCAAACACATACATAGACCTAACAAAAGATCCTGTCGCTGAGACCAAAAACTTGGGGAAATTCATAGAAGTAACAGTTTTAAATATTGATCAGTTGGGATGTTCTGGAGGCAATTTAGATCAAAATGCTCAAATATTGGACAGTTCTTTGCAGCCCGATACTACTGTAGATGCTTTTATTGATTTGACACAAGATGCTTCAAGTGAGAGTAAAAGTGAAAGTAATCATCCTGCATTGGCTGTTGAAGGGTTAGGGTGTCAAGTGGTATGTGTAGTTGAAGATAACTGTGTGGAAGAAAAGGTGCAAATGGCAAACAGACCTTTGGAATGCATTGTTGAGGAAACCTATATCGATTTGACCACAGAATCTTCTGGTTCATGTGAAGTAAAAAAGGATAATTTAAAATCAGAGCCAGCATCAAATTGTGATAGTTCAGAGCCACCTGGAACTTTGGATAATGCTCACAAAAAGAGAAAAAACCTTTCTGATCCAAATCATGCTTCTCAGAAAAAACAAAGAAAGGAAACAGACTTAACTAGTAGGGAAAAGACCAAGAAACTTACCCAAGATTCTGGTGAGAATGGTGAAGCTCACCAAAAGAAAGCCAATAAGAAAAGGGGCCCTACAGTGAATAAAGATGCTTCATCATCAAAGGCAAACTCAGGGATTAAGGATTCATCAGCAGCACTCACCACTTCTCCTACAAGTCTTTCTGCAAAGAATGTTATTAAAAAGAAGGGAGAAATTATAGTTTCATGGACAAGGTAAGAATCTTGTCAGGCATTTAAATCACCAGGAAATTTTGAGAAGTGAGAAATCCGATGTCATGTCCTCATAGTTTTATCCCATCCTAAAATAAGGAAACTGATGACTTCAAAAATGGCTAAAAGTAGTTGAAGATATATTCTAGGGTAGAGTCCAGCTATACTATGGGACAGTCTAGAGCTGTGGTCCCCAACCCCTGGGCTATGGTTTGTGGCCTGTTGGGGACGGGAATGCAGAGGTCCTCCCCCACACCCCCCAACTTGTGCCCCATTCATGGAAAAATTGTCTTCCATGAAACTTAGAAATGGAGGTGGGGTGGGGTGGGTGCATAGCAGGAGGTGAGTGAAGAAGTTTCATCTGTATTTATAGCCAGTCCCTATCGCTCACATCACCACCTGAGCTCTGCCCACCCTCTGTCCTTGGAAACATTGTTGCCATGAAACCGGTCCCCGGTGACAAAAAGACTGGGGACTGCTGGTCTAGAGCACTGGCTCTTAACAGGCATAAGCAGTAGTACCATGGATAGAGCTTTTCATTTTTTTTTTTTTTTTTTTTTTGAGACAGAGTCTCACTCTGTTGCCCTGGCTAGAGTGAGTGCCATGGCATTAGCCTAGCTCACAGCAACCTCAAACTCCTGGGCTCAAGCGATCCTACTGCCTCAGCCTCCCGAGTAGCTGGGACTACAGGCATGCGCCACCATGCCCAGCTAATTTTTTGTATATATTTTTAGTTGTCCAGATAATTTCTTTCTATTTTTTTAGTAGAGACGGGGTCTCGCTCTTGCTCAGGCTGGTCTCGAACTCCTGAGCTCAATCTGCCCGCCTCAGCCTCCCAGAGTGCTAGGATTATAGGCGTGAGCCACCGCGCCCGGCCTTTTGTTTTTTTGTGTTTTTTTTGTTTTAAATTATTTAGGACCTTTATTAACAGGTGCTTGCAGTTTGTTGACTTTTTTGAAAAAATCAAGTTGTAAACTTTTATTACAAATTAAATGAAGTTCTTAAAAATCTCAACTTGACCAGATACGAAACAATTTAAAAATCTTTAAAGGCGTATTGAGAAAAACCACTTTTTCAATTAAAGAGAATTCTTTCATTTGGAAGGAACCGGTATAAACAAATTTTAGAAAGAAGGAATGACAGATGGTGAAACAGGGCAAAAAGTAGGAGTGTTTGTTATTTGATTTTTCCTCTAAATTAAAAGTTTACAAACAGTTTCATAAACAGGTTGTACTTCTGAGTTTTATATGAACTTTTTAAGAAGTGCAGATTTTAAGACCCCACTCAGACATAAAGGTAACCACAGTTAGTAAGCCATTGGACTAGAGATGGACCATCTCCATACTTGACTAGAATGCCTAATGAGGAAGCTGAATTTTGTTAAAAGTCGTAATCGGTTTCGTTTAATACATCAATCCTTAAATCCCCATTTCAGGTAACTTGCAGATGGCAGAATAAAATCTCAGATTTGTAGTAATATACATTCATTCAGACCATGTAGAAAAAGCAGAGATATGTGGGAATTAGAATATCTGGATTCTATTTTAGTTCTGATTGTTCTGCTTATTATGTCTGTGATCATCTTTGGGTCTTAATATTTTTAGTATATGTTAAAGGTAGAATTTAAAAAAACAAAACTTTAATTTTTGTCATTAGGTAAATTAGTACATTTCTTGTAGAAAATTTGGGAAATATGAGCTCAAAGAATAAAATCATCTATAATTGTATTTCTCAGAGGTAACTGTTGTCTATATTTTGGTTATATTGTCCATGTTTTTCCTTTTTCCTATGGATTTTAATTTCCCCTATTGGTACACGTTAAGGCAGTAGAATTTTTATTACCTTTCTACTCTAACGTACAAAAGCTAAATACAATTTTTCCCTCCTCAGAAATGATGATCGGGAAATTTTATTGGAATGTCAGAAAAGAGGGCCATCTTTCAAAACATTTACATATTTAGCTGCCAAGTTGAATAAAAATCCAAATCAGGTAACTACCCAATTTTTACATCTCTTTGGTTCACAGATGTTGCTACTCTAAATACATAATTTTTTTTTAAGACATGGAATTTTGCTGTGTTGGCCAGGCTAGATTCAAATTCCTGGGCTCAAGTGATTCTCCTGCCTCAGCCTTTCAAGTAGCTATAGATATTTATTAGCTGACTTCTTTAAAACTATGGCTCAGTGTAGGACTGTTAAAAACTTGATGATCTGGAAGAAGTGTGCCTGGAATTATCCTGATTTTTTTCCCTGTGTCTTACCATTTATTTATTTTATCAAGGAATTTTGTAATGATGTTCAATTGTTTAAGAAAGTTTAATGTTGAGAAGTTAAGCTAGCGTTCACCTTTAGTATCAAGATATTTTTCTAAACATTACTTTCTCTCTTTATTATTGAGGATAACGTTCTCTGTCTTTAGATGTTTTGTGAAAGTATTCCTCAAAGATGAATAAAGATTATTGAAATGTTTGTAATTAACACTCATTTTTAATTTTTTAGGTCTCAGAAAGATTCCAGCAGCTAATGAAGCTCTTTGAAAAGTCAAAATGCAGGTAGTTACTGGTTACTCTACAGAAGACTAGTAAAGTAAATGTTTGACGCTGTAATTGTGCAGTTAATGACCTGTTAGTCATTGAAGATGTGAGTTGTGGGTGAGAAACATCCAGTTAAGTTCCTGCTTCAGTCACTGGTTGGAGGATGGTTGCTCACCCAGGCATCTAAGGTCACCTCATCCACAGGGACGTGCTCAGAATGAAGCCTGCTGCAGTTCAGATCAGTATGGCATGTCTGTTCAACCTTCTGATTGCTGATGAGTCTAAGGTGGGGGGAAATCCACTTGATGATTAATAATACACTTTTTATAGATGAAGAAAAATAAAAAAAATCCTTAAATAGTATGTGGTTTATAACCAATGAAGTCTGTGTAGTCATTGTAATTTAATGTGTCTCACATTTTTAATTAGGAATATTAAATACTTCAAAATACAAAACATTCATAAACATGAAGTCCATTGTCATCTAAATAGATGACATGATTTACCATATTATTAATAACATTCACAGACATGTTTCCTCAGTTTCTTGTACTTCCTGTAAAAGTCATTCTTGTACAGGTTCATTAAGGCAATAATACTTAAATTCTCAGAGGTTGGATACAGTGGCATGCTCCTATAGTCTCAGCTACTCAGTAGGCTGAGGCAGGAGGATCACGTGAGCCCAGGAGTTTCAGGCTGTAGTGCACCCAGATTGTGCCTGTGAATCGCTATACAATCCAGCCTGGGCAACATGACCCAGTCTTTAAATAAATAAATAAATTGCCAGCAGGTTTTTTTCTGTAAGACCTCAGCCAATTGCTTAAATATTTTGTATTTTTATGTTAGGAAAATTGTAAAGATGTTTAATATGTCACTGTATTTTTCAATTGATTTGTATTCATAATTATTTGATTGTAAAACACATAATTTTAAATGAAGTTTGAATTAAATTTACTAGAAACCACATTTATACATAGATCACAGTGTGAAGGTTTTTGAAAGTTTTTGAGTTATAAATCTCTGTTTCTAGCCCCAATGTGAATTACTGTCTTTAGATAATCTGTTGGCTGGGTTCAGTGGTCACGCCTATAATCCCAGCACTTTGGAATGCTGAGGTGGGAGGATCAGCTTGAGGCCATGATTTCAAGACCAGCCTGGGAAATATAGCAAGACCCTGTCTGTACCAAAAAAAAATTAAACAGGCTTGGTGGTGTACTCCCAGCTACTCAGGAGGCTGAGACAGGAGGATAGCTTGAAGCTCAGGAGTTCAAGGCGAGAGTAAGCTATGGTTGTGCCACTGCTCTCCAGCTTGGGCAGCAGAGCGAGACCTTGGCTCTTAAAAAAAAGGATAATCTGTTAATTTCTATATCTTCTGAAGGCAACTGGTTTGCTAGTAAGATCTCCAAAATAATATTTTGTAGTTTACTGTGAAATTAAACTTCTATGTCTATAGTTCAGAATGTAAGATTGAATAATGGGGTATTTGGAGAAGCAGCTTATCCTAAAGAACTTTAAAAAATAGCTTAGGGCAAAAGTGACTTGGTTATTTTTCAGATTCACTGTACTTCAAGGTTTTCACTGCCTTAAAGAAATTAAATTGAGTTTCTTTGTTTTGCCTTAATATCTTAAAATATGATTTCCATTCTCTTGTGAAAGAATGTAAATTCATGAAAGAAATAACTTGTATCTGGAAGTGATGCTTATTAGTTCAAAATTTCCAAATTCCATTACAAATCTAAAATCTTATTACTGTTTACAAATCTAAAATCTTTTAATGAATTTGATAATTTGAGATTTTATTTGTTTGCATGATAGCACATGTAGTGGGTTAGTTCATTCCTAGCTTGTTTCTTAACTGAGTTTTTTTCCCCATAAGTACTATAGTCTCATTAAATCTTTGTCAAAATCAAAGTATAATGTTAGTTACCAAGCTGATTCTGTAAAAGCTGGTTCTTTAACACCAGTGTTGCCTAAGTGGAGCTCACTTAAAAGGTAACGCTTTATGAAATGGTCATATCAGAAAAATAGAATCATAACTTTAACATTTTCTTACATTACAGATAAGTTGCTGAGTTCCTTGGAGTCTCAATTGATATTACATACTACACAGAAGCTTCGAATTCCTCATGTTTTAAATGGGGAACTAGAGGGAGGTTTTATCAAATTTTGATTACTAGATGATAATATACTTTTGTTATTACTTTATTCTCTAATCTCAAATCAGCATTTTCAGCTTGTTCCAGTCATCAGTCTGATTTGCTTACCTATTATTGGTCAAAATATTTATTTTTAAACATACTAGAACTTATTAAAATGAAAGCAACAATGAGGTTGTATTGAAATCTTAGTTTTGATATTTTAAAGAGATGACTTTCTTTTCTAGATTTTTAAAAATAGTTTTGTAGCATTTTAAACTTTAACAGCTGTTGAGTTCAAGTTTTCATCCATTTTTATTTGCTTTTATAATTGCCCCTCATTTTGGTATATTGTAAAATAATATAAATAGTGTATTTGTAAATATTTATAATGATGTAAAATACTGTGTATGTGTGTTTGTGTGTGTGCACACACATAAATGGCTGCCTAGCCAAGGATTTTTTTATCTGTGTGAAACTTTGTATAAAGTTTGTTTTCTATAACATTAATGTATAATAAAACCATGTAAAGTTCTGTTATATTTTGATTAGAATGTTTCTTTTAGTGTGTTTAGATAACAAAACCAAAAAAGGCAAAACTCCCAGGGGACATGGGGAGCAATTTTGAAGTCAGTCATGGTGAGGGCGTGGCTGGCTAAATGGCTGTGAGTAGATTCATTAGAGAAAACAGGTTGCCACTGCCTTTCTCCCAGTAGGTACTGGTACAGTGAACCATACTTCTGCTGCAGATGTCTTCACAGATAAAATTAGAGTAGCACAAGAGCCCTCTGGGGGAAGATTTGGAGAAAGCAGGTGTAAGGACTGATTAGCTTGGGCATTACTTCTTCACCCCTTTCCCCCAGATTCATAGGACTAGTGGGTTACAATCTAGGCCCTAGACTCTAGGAAGTGCCTTTTCCCATTGCCATTCCTCCCAAGGTGTCCAAAGGGGAAGTCCTCACCTAAAGGATTACAAACTGAAATAATTAACTGGTTTTATACTGCTGGTGCTTTTCATTGTACGGCTTGTCCCCTTCCCTTTCTTTGACTCCTCAGTACAACTAGACGGCTGGCCCTCAGTCCTTCCCCAGTGCATAGTGGCAACTCAGCAGATCTCATACCACCAGATATAAATAAATTCACAGACAAAATAATTTGATGACTAAGAAAGAGATGCCACTGTTTCACAAGAAAACAACAAACTGGATTACATAAGACTTTCAGAATCTAAAATGAAGCTAATAAACATTAAAAGAAAAAGATAAGGATTTTAGCAATGTGATACAGGGATAAGAAATAATGAAACATTTAAAATAAAAATAATAAATGGAGTACAAATAGATATAGCTGAAGAATGAATTAGTGAGTTAGAAAATCAGACTGAGAAACTCCCAGAAGGAAGCAAAAAAATAAAAAATAGGAAATGTGAAAGCAGATTTAAGCAAGGAAGACAGAAGTAGATGTGCCAACATTCACATAATAAAAGAGATCCATAAGGAGAAAAAGTTTAAATAGAGGTTGAAAGGGCCACAGAGTGCCAAACGAGAGAATACCCACATCCAGACACATAATGAAATTTAAGAGTCTCAGATGAGAAAATTCTAAAAACTTTTAGATAGAGTATACAAAGGAACAAGAATCAGATTGACTTCACTCAGTCTTTTCAAGCTCAATACTGGGTGTAGGAAAACAATGTAATATTTTTAAAGTACTGGACTTAAAGTTTTAATCTGTTTAAACTGTCATTAGCGAGGGCTTACTAAAAACATTAAGATTTACCAAAGATCCACATTGACAATTTTTAGAAAAAACACTCAACAAAAAGCAAATCCAGAAGATACTGCAAAAGCTAGGGGGATAGCAGTGGTTAGATACTTTGGTAAAATGTATATGGGGAAGAAAGATTTAAAAAGAAAAGGAAGTATATGCATAATCCAGAATTAATAATTTTAGGCAATATCAACACAATGGAGAGTAGAGGAGATCAAGGAAACATATAAATGTTAAAGTTATTATTAGGATGAGGATACAGATATAAAAATGTCAAACTTGAAACATACAAATGTTAAAGTTATTGCCTTGTTAGGATGAGGGTATAGATACAAAAATGTCAAACTTAAAATTGAGGTATGACACTCACATAGAAAAATGCATAGAAGAAATAGCTTGATGAATTTTCACAAAGTGAACACTTGTATCATACCACCCAGGTCAAGAATTGGAACATCACCAGCTCTCCAGAGGGTCCCCACTCCCTGCCTCCATTCCCAGTTATACTCCTTCCATCTCCCTAGTGGTAAACACTATTGCTGACTTATGCATTAGTTTTGCCTGTCTTTTAACATTCAAATGGAATCATAACTGTATCTATTCTTATTTGGCAGTATATGAGGTTCATGCTTGTTGAGTATAGTAAATTCTTTCTCATTGCTGTGTATATTTCAATTGAATGAATATACTACAATTAATTTATCTTATTGTCAGACATTTGTGTTCCAGTTTGGGGCTGTTACGAATAGTGCTGTTAGGCACAGTTTGAAAGAAAATCGTGGCAAATACAAGATTTAATATTTTAACCATTTTTAGATGTACAGTTCAGTGGCATTAAGTCCATTTATATTGTGATCATCACCAGATCTTTTTCATCTTCCCAAACTGAAACTCTACCTATTAAACAGTAACTCTCCATTTCCTGCTTTCTCCAGCTCCTAGTAACCTAGTGGTTACTTTTACTTTTTGTCTCTATGAATTTGACTACTCTACGTATCTCATATAAGTGGATTCCCACAGTATTATTTGTCCTTTTCTATCTGGCTTGTTTCACTTCACATAATATCTTCAAGGTTCATCCATGTTGCAGCATGTGTCAGAATTTCCTTCCTTTTAA